TGGACCTCGTCCTCACCCTCTCCTCCGTCTCCCATGATGTCGAGGCCCGAGGGGCCGGCGCTGAGGTCGAAGAATAGGAAGAACTCAGACTGGGCGGGCGGGCTGGGGGCGGGCTGGGGTCGGAGACCTCAGGGGACGTCAGAGGCACCCGCGAGGCAGATGGAACTGCGAGGAGGACTCGCGTGCTGGACAGAGCCGGGAGGAGGTACCCATCCCCTCCGTCCCCATTGGGCCAGGACGACTCAGGCCACGCCCTTTGCCAGAGCCCCTCCCACAGTCCCCAAACCTGTCCCTGAAGCATGAGTTGGGCCGGGCGGGGCAAAGGAGGAGCGTCTAGAAGGTAGTTAGCTGTCCTCTCTCCACCTCCACTGTAAAGAGGCCATCATTCTCCCATTTCACAGATTGCGAACTGAAGCGCTGAGCGGGGAGCCCCTGCTTGATGTCATACAACAGAGCCAGGATGTGCACCAAGTCTCCCGACTTTAAAAAGCAGCGTACATAGGGATTAAAAACAAGGACTCTGAGCCAGACAGTCCGTATCCGAGTCCTGGTCTTGTCACTCCTTTGTGTGACCTTGGAGAATTCGTTTCGCCTCTCCTTGCCTCAGATTCCCCAACTGATAAAGAGGATGTTTATAGTACCTATCTCACAGGACTGTTGCAAGGATTAAATGATATCATTTATTTACAGCACTTAAAACAATACCAGTGCATAGTAAATGTTATGGAGGTGTTGTTATCATCATCATCATCTTCATCATCGCCATCATCATCATCATCATCATCATCATCATCGAAACTGTGAGGCATGAATAATAGCCATAGCAGATGTCTTTTGCATGCCTCTTGCATTTCAGGCCCCGAGCTAAGATCTTTTTACTGCATCTCATTTAGTTCTCACAACAATCCTGCTAAACAATTCACATGGTTTAGAGGAGAAAATAAAAATGTATGGTCCTTACCAAGTATAGTTTTAAGGACATGACCAGAATAAATGACGTAGTTCTCACAATGATCTTGTGATGACAATACTCTTACAGATGAGGAAAGCTGAGCACAGAGGGATGGAGTGACTTGCCCCAGATCACGCAGAGGCTAAGCAGGGGAGTCAAACCCTGGCTCACGGTTCTTAAACATTCTGCTTTACTGTCTCATTATTTGCATAAAATCTCCTAATTATAACAAAAACCCACTTCCCCACGGCCAGGCCCTGCCCCTAGAGTTCTAACCCTCCTTCTCTTCAGGGGCCACCTGAGCCACTGAGGGCTACTAGCTGGGCCACCCCTTTGTGCGGATGAGCATCCTGGGCTTTGTAAATAGGGGAGCTCTAACAGGGATAACCAGCTTTTTCCTAGGAGCCCTGGCGGAAGGCCTCTGCAGTTCCCTAAAAGAGACAGCTGTGGGGCCTGGAGGCCCAACGCAGGAAGCCACATATACTTGGGCCTCCTGCCAGGCAGGCAGCTTCATGTCTCCGGGCCTCAGTTTCCTCATCTGTCAACTGAGCTAATTTGGAATAGTTCCCACCTTCTGGGGTCCCGGGGAAGATTCCATGAGGAAACCAATTAGAGCCTACTACATGGTAAGCGACTGATACATAGATCTATTAAAATTATTATTAACACATAATGGTATCTATTGAGTTATACAAAACAAAATCTTGCAGTTTAATAAAATTATATATAAAATGTTAAATGTATAATAAGTTGCTGTGTGTTACGTAAATATTGATATATTGATACAATTGTAACATAGCACATAAGTTTGTAGCATATTATTGAATTATATAATGCATAATTACATATTTAGGCCAATATAATTATATAGTACAACACAGTTATATGTCTATCTATTGTACATTATATAACACACACATGTATATTAAATATTAAGTTTTTAAGTTTATATATAATATAAAATTATTCTGTCTTTGTGCATTATATCATAAGATATTAATAGTGTTTCTTTTTTTTGTCAGTCAATATTATGTGTTTTAAGACCTAGCCATGTTGCTCTGTGGACTCCTGGGCTGTGGCTGGGGGGCTTTGCAGGGCTCCCTGGTGACTGTACCTTTCTGTTTATCTACTCACTCCTCTGGGGATGGATACCCAGACTGCCCCCAGCTCCCAAAACTAATGTTGCAGTGAACATACTAGTATATGTCTCCTTATGGAATTGAGGGAGACTGTCTCGGTATGCACACCCAGGAGGTAATTGCTGGGTGGCAGCTCTGTGCCACACTTAATTTGACTAAATAGTGCCAAATGGCCTCCGAGGAATGGCTGCCCACTAACTGTGTGAGGGTACCTAGGTCTCACATCCCCAACTGATGCAGAACAGGGCAAATTCCTGCAGGTTGGGGGGATACCAAGCCCAGCACCGAGAGAGAAGCGGGCTCTTGGCAGAGAGTGTAGGAAGAATTCAAACACGCGCCCAAAGGAAAGTTTATTAAAGAAGGGAAAAGCAAAGACTAGAGAAAGCAAAGACGAAAAGCCAAGACAAGGAAAAAAAGACCCCAAGTGTTGGGGGGGGAGGTTTCAGTTTGTATATCATGCTTTAGTTCCTGTGAGTTACAGTTTAAAGATTTTATTTACCCATTTCCTTTGATGTGGACATACAGTGAGGAAGGATAAGAGTATGTAGCAGTAAAGGTAAAGTTAGTAGCGGGAAAGGTCTGCTGGCAGTCCCCAGGCTTGAATCCATAGGTTCCCCATAGTTTTAGCCACAGGGAATGAGTAATTTTATTTTGTGTAGGGCACAACTTAAAGACTCTCTTTTTCCCATTTTCCCTTCATGGTGTGGGGAAATGAGTTGTTAGCAATCCCAGCAGACATCTTCCTTTGTTCTGCAGGTGTGCTCCTGGCCTGTCTGCAGGGCTGATCAGCACACACTTCTTGCTGATTTGCAGCCGTTCACTTATGTTCTAGGTATTAATGTCTCATTGATTTTAGACGTTGTAAATACCTATCCCCGCTCTATCATCTGATATTTGTCCCATGGTGTCCTCGTTAAGAGAAATCCTTATTTGCATGTTATCAAATGCATCCTTTTTCTGCCATATGAGTTTTTGTGGTTTGCCTCAGAAATCTTTTCCTTTGTGGTTGTCGGTGTTATTGTTGGTATTAACCATCCCTTTGGGCCTCAAGAGAATATACGGGTGCCAGGGCCTTTTCCAAGCCCCTCCCTCCCTGAGGCTCCCCGCCCACCACCTCCCCCGGGAACCTGGAGACACTTTCACACCACAAGCTTGGCTCAGCCAGGACCATTACCTTGTTACGTGAGATGCAGGTGCTGAAGAGATAGGCTGGAGACAGACAGACAGACAGACAGCACGTCGTGGAGAGCACAGCCTGAGACTGGGGAGAGAGAAGGAAAAAGAAGCAGGAAGAAGAATAGATGCAGAGAGAAGCTCTGAAACGATATGATATGTCACGTCACGATAAAGCTAAAGAGAATGGGCTCCACGCTTGTCTAAATGTTCTAGTGTGAAAAAAATCCATGGCGACTTCATTTAGTGAAAAAAAGAAAAGAGCGAAAACACACCTTGAAGAGAGCTTTGGTTGAATTGACAGAATCATATTTTTTAACTGATGTATCAGTTGGGCAGAATCACATTAATTACTGTGACCTATTTATTCCTCTCCTAGGTATCTACCCTACAAAACTGCACACTTTGTTCGTCAAAAGACAGGAGCCAGAATGTTCACAGCAGCGATATTCACAACAGTTCCAAACTGGACACAACTCAAATGGAACTGCACACTTTGTTCATCAAAAGACAGGGGCCAGAATGTTCACAGCAGCAATATTCACAACAGTTCCAAACTGGACACAAATGCCCATCGCAGGAAAAATCTATTGGTAAATCATGGAAGATTTACGAAGGAAGATTATACAGCAACACAAAGGAATGAACTACAGCCAAATATAATTCCATGGAAGAATCACAAAGACAAGATGCTGAATGAAGAAGCCAGAAACGATAAATTAGTCAATTTATATACTAATTTATATAACATCAATTAGTCCATTCAAAACCAGGCAGAACTACTCTGCTAGAAATCAGGCTGGTGGTTATGTTTTGAGATGTAGCCATGGGGAGGGGCTCAAGGGGTTGGTAAGGGCTGGGGATGTTCTCTTTCTTGATTTGTGTGACTGTCACATGGATATGCATTTTGTCACAATTCACCAACCTAAACACTTAGGATTTGTGCTCTTTCTTGTACGTCAGTTAAAAAATATGTCAAGTATGACACATATAGGTACGAGAAAAAAACAGAAACAAAAAAAAGCACATATTCGAGGAAACTGAGCAAACACACAACCAACAGATCAGATGAAACCCAAGTACATCTGATACTGGTCGCCCCTGCATAAGAACAACCGTGGGTTGGGGAAGGGGCTCCCAGATGGTTTATCTCCAGCTCTGATGTTTCCATAACAAGGTAACAGTCTTTAAGATTGTGTGAGGATTAAATGAGTTAATATTTTAAAAACCCTTAGAAGCGTGTGGTATCCAGTAAGCACTACATAAAGGTTCGTTACAATGAAAGTAATAAAGTGAAAATGTTTTCTGGGGTACAAATGATATTTTTAAGACTAAACTAAGAATAAAAGAAACAAGAAGAAATATACAAAATACTATGTCTTGTAACTTTCCATTCAAACCTTTGCGTGTGTATACATGAATATGTCCCTGTAGAAATACAGACTTTTCTTTTGAGTGTGTTTTTACATAAATGTGTCATATTAGGCATACTTTAAAAAAAAACACAACACTTTTATTGAAGTATGAAACTGACAGAGCAAAGAATCACGGGTCTAGAGACAGAAAGATGGGGGAGATAAAGAGCCCGCCCTGGCGATTGGGGGTGGGGGCCGGCAGCACCGGAAACCTCAGCCTGAAGGGATACCCATGTGGGGGGAGGGGGGACCTTTGGTCTCTCCCCAGCCTCTTCCTTCCCCCTGGCCTGGGGCTGGGTGGGGAGGGGCAGTTCCTCTTTCCTTCCCAAGCACCGAGGAGGCCCCAGCTCCCAAGGGGCTAAGAAGTTGGAGCATTGGTGAGGGGGGGAGGAGCTGAGCCAGACTCTCCTAAGACCCCCTTCACGCCCCCACCCCCAGGAAGCATGAACAGGAAAGACAGCAAGAGGTGAGAGGACTCTCCCTAAAGAGCCTGAAGCACTCTAACCCCCTGGCCTCAGGCTGCGTGGGAAGGTTGGGTGGCACTAAAAGGAAGTAGGGTGTGGGGCTCCTCTGGGAGCAAAGGCAGGAGCAGGGGGTACCAGGTGGAAAGATGCTTCAGGGAGTCCAGAGCCAGCCAGGGCTGGGGCTATTTGTATGAATGCCGATGTTAGTCCTAGCTCTCTCTGGAATTGGAGCTGCTCTGAATCCCTTTCCCCCTGCCCTACCCCCATCTTAGCTCCCTAGGCTGGGTGCTCTGTCCTCCCTGGGGTCTTCCTGATTCCCCATCACAGTGCTCGCTGCCCCCTGGACTGGAAACTCCAGGCTCCTGCGGGGCCCTGCCCCTGGGGAGGGGAGCGTGACGCAGGACAAGGCAGCTCTCCTGCCTCTTAAACCACTTCTCGCTGCTCCAGACATTACAAGGGGCAGAGAATTTGCAGGTAAGGGCCTATCGGCTGGCTACGCCTGCAGGTTCTAAAAGGGGCTTCTATCACCTAGGCGAGTGGGCCCTCCTGTCCTCACAGGGGTGATGGTGGCTGGGTCCCGAGCCCTGGCAGGTCCTCCAGTTTCCTCCAGCATGTCTCTGATGGACAAAGGGGTCCCCTCCCCATAATATCCAGCAGTTTAATGGTAGAGACCTGGCTGCCTCATTTTCTGGCTGCGTGACCTTAGGTAAGTCACTTAACTGCTCCGTGCCTTAGTTTCTTATCAATAATCATAGCCCCTCCTTGGAGGGGCGCTTAAGTTCTCAGTGGGACAGTCTTGACCAGTGGTTCTCGGGCTTGAGCACACATTAGAGCCACCTGGAGGGCTTGTAAAACTCAGGTTGCTGGGTTCACCTCCAAAGTTTCTGATTCTTTAGGTCTGGGGTGAGGCCTGAGAACTTGTATTTATGTCAGGTTCCCACGTGCTGCTGTTGGTATCGGTTGGGGACCGTGCTTTCTTTGAGAGCCGCTGATCTAGACAGGTGCTCAGCAAATGCCAGCTGTTACTCGACAACGTTCAATACCGATCCCTTTGGGTGGGCCAGGGACATGGCAGTGCCCTTGTTCTGAGGGTCTCCCATTTCACCTCCATGCTTCGAGCCTGGCTTTAGTCTGAGCCACAACTTTCTCCCTTTGCGTCTCAAGTTCAACTTTCCCATCCCTGGCCGCTTAACAGCCTAAGCAAACTAAGCAAACTAAGTCTCTTAGCATTTTCGAAGAGCAAGGTATTGAATGTTCATAATAGATTCCTGGGGAAGGTCCAAGAATTCTTCATATGAGGAAACTGAGGCCCAGAGAAATTAAATGACTAACGCAGTCACACAGCCAGCATACATTGCTCTAACCCCATTTTGTCTGGCTATGGAAACCGAGGCCCTTTCGCCTGGATTCTTCTCCCTCCTTCCTGCACCATCCCTGTTTCTCCATTACCCTCTTTCCCCAACTGGAACATGAGCCTCAGGGAGGCACAAGGCTGAGTGAGGGTTATTTTTAAACTTTCCTTGAAGCTGCCTCAGCCCCAGGGACCCTGACCAGCTCTGAAGAGCCCTGGTGAAGACACTTGGTACCCATATCTTCTCTCGAGCTCCAAATCTAGGGGCTCAGGTGGGCAGATAAGATTCAGGTCCTGCCAAGGGGCTGGCTTGATGGAGGGGGTCAAGGTGGGGGAAGAAGGAAAGATGGCATCTTAGGGGTCTACTGCTCTCTTGAGGGCTCTGGGGAGAAGGGGTGGGAAGGGGTTAGAGAACAAAGGGGAATTCTGAGGAGTCTCCCTGAAGGCAGAATTTCCCATGACTCTCCCTGGGAAAGGCACGAATAATTCTGGGGTCTTCTCCCATGATTCCTTGCACAATCAGGAATAAACCCAGGGGTCTGCCAACAGGAAGTCTCTCCCATAATGCCTTGGGACTGTGACATCAAGGGGAACTTGGGGCCAATGCCTGCAGAAGAAAGTTCTTGCGATTCCCTAGAGGGTCCTTAGCAGTCTTGGGGTTATCTCCCATGTCCCATGTTTCTCAGGGGGGATTCAGAGTAGTCTTGAGGATCTTTGACCAAACCCCTTAAGGAGACAGGAGTAACCCTTGGAGTTTACCTGTAGGAGAAGGCGCCCACGATCTGGAGTACTCCTGGAGTTTTCTCCTGTGAGTCCATAGGAGGTCAGGAGTGACCTTGGGGCTTTGCCTTTAGGAAGTTTCTCCCATCATGCCTTGGGCCTTTGGGGTCAAGAAGGATTCTGGGGCTCTGCCTGAATAAGGGGCTCACATGATTCCCTGGGTTGGGGGTGGTGTGCCCACAGGAAGTCCCACCAGGAATGTTCCGGGAAGACAGGAGGGCGGGGCCGGCCCCGACAGGCCCGCCGCCACAAGACGTGCCCCAGTCCCCGGGAAATCAGCAAGATCATGGCTTCCATGGACATGCTGAACGAGGGTGGCTGCAGCGAAGATGAGCTGCTGGAGAAATGCATCCAGTCCTTTGGTGAGTGTCCCCCTCCCCGGCCAGCCTCCCCAATCCTAAGATTGGGTCAAGCTTCTCTTTAGGCCTCAGTTCTGAGGGATATAAAATAGGGTATGTAAAATGAATTTCAATCACTACATTAGGAATAAGAGAGCCACCTGTGTTTATCTTTCCTGAGATGTGGAGGGGGAGGATGTTTGATGATATTTCCACCTTCAGTATGACTTGCCAGGAGCCGTGCTGGTCCATACACAGTACAGACCAGGGAACTGAGGCGCGAGGAGGCCAAGTTGCTTGCCCAAGTTCATGCAGGGAGTCAAGAGTAGTCTAGGGTTTGAATTAGGTGGTCCAAACAGCTCTGGAGACTGTCCATCATCGTCCAGGAGTCATTCTAACAGAGCTCACTTCTCGCGCCCCCAGACTCGGCTGGCAGCCTGCGCCGCGGGGACCCAGGGTTTGAATTAGGTGGTCCAAACAGCTCTGGGGACTGCAGTCCATCATCGCCCAGGAGTCATTCTAACAGAGCTCACTTCTCCCGCCCCAGACTCGGCTGGCAGCCTGCGCCGCGGGGACCACATTCTCAACATGGTACTGGCCATGCACAGCTGGGTGCTGCCTTCTGCCCACCTTGCTGCCCGTCTTCTGACCTTATATCCTCCCAGGGCCATGAGCAGTGATGGGAGGGCAGAGGGCAGAGACGTGAGAGTCTGACAGATGGGTACAAGGTGAGCAGGCAGGTTTGGGGTGCTGGATATCAGAGCCTTAACCAGAACTCAAGTACCGGGAGGCCAAAGAGAACACGCAGGAGCTGAGGCGGCTGCAGATCTGTCACCTGGTCAGGTAGGGCTGAGCCAAAACCCCCATTCCCATGACTCGTGACCCTCACCCTGCTACCCCCCTAAAACACCTCCCAGAGACTCCCAGTCCAGTTCCCCACAGACCCACCCAGGCCTGTTTCCCACTTTGAGACACTGGTTTGGTTCCTAAGACCTTCCCAGTTCTGCTCCTTAGAATCTTCACCTCTTAGAGACCCCTTACCAGATCATACAGACCCTCTCCCAGCTGGGACCCAGACACCTCCAGCTCTGATCTCCAAACCCCCCACTTCCCACATACCCCAGCCTAGCTTCTAGACCCCCTTATGCTGTTTTCCCATAATCTCACCCCCAGAGGCTCCCAGCTTAGTTCCTGAGACCCTCCACGATCCTGCTACCTAGCAGTTCCACTTCCAAGAGATCCCCCAGTCTACCTCCCATTGATCCATCAGCCTGTGTTAAGAAGCCCTCTATCCATATCCCAGAGATCCCTCTAGCCTCATGCCTCTCTGAACCCTGACCTTTTAGAGGTCCCCCAGCCCAGCACTGAGAGATTCTTGAGCCCAAGAGACCCCTTTTAGAGAACTTGCCCACTCTCACCCCCACCCCCAGCCTCATCACACCATCTATAAACCACGCTCAGGTACTGGATGACCAAACACCCCGAGACAGTGCACCAGGAGCCCCAGTTAGAAGAGGTTGTAAGTCGCTTCTGGGCCACCGTAGAGCAGGAGGGCAACTTGGCCCAGAGGAGCCTGGGAGATAACTCCAACCTGTGAGTCAGCCCCCCCCTCCCCACCCCAACTCTGCCATCTCCTTCTACACCCCAACATCCTCCACCCTGAGCCCTCCCAATACCCTGCCCCTTTTTGCCCCCAGCCTGAGTCCTGGTGGCCCTGGCCCCCCGCCCTCCATGAACAGCCCCAGCGTGGGCAAAAAGTGCAAAGTGTCCTTGCTTTTCGACCACCTGGAGACAGAGGAGTTGGCTCAGCACCTCACTTACCTGGAGTTTCGGTCCTTCCAGACTATAACGGTGAGGAGCCTCTTCCCTCCAGCCAGGGAGGGTTTGTGGTGGAGCGGGGTTTGGCTGGTGCCAGGCAGGACTGAGAGGACCCCAGCAAGGGCTTCCAGCAGGGATCTCAAACACTCACACTTGGGTGCTAGAAGGTCCAGGAAAATGAGTTAAGCTGGCTGAGCACTGGGTTCAAATCCATCGGCCATTTCTTACCTGTGTGACTTTGAACTAGTTTCTTAACCTCTCTGGGACTCAGTTTTCTTGTTTATAAAATAGAGGTCGTAATACTTCACTGGAAGGTTGAAAGAATTAAATTAACGTGTCCATTTTAAAATGCTTGTCACAATGCCTGGCCCATGTAAGTGCTGAAAATAGGATCAGTGACTGGTCCAGAGTAAATGCTATCTGGTAGAACCATTTGAAATTGCCATAGTTTGCCATATTTTACCTATCCCAATGGTAATTTCATATGTTTCAACCTACACATGTATTAACTATTGCCATCATCATTTCAAGACAAGGTGAGACTCTGTTTTTTTGTTCTGTTTTATACTTTTTTAAAATTTATTTTTCAGTTATAGTTGACATGTGAAATTATATCAGTTTCATGTGTACAACATAGTGATTAGGCATTTATATACTTAATGACATGATCACCCCAATGGGATCTGGATTCTCACTGTGAAGCTAGCCAGGCTAGGACATCGCAGGTCGTGACTGCTGGGGCGATGGGCTTGTGAGAGGCCCGCAAGGCCTGAGTGCCACGGCGCTCCCTGACGCCCACCTCTCCCGCAGCCCCAGGACCTGCGGGACTACGTTTTGCAGGGCTCAGTGCGGGGCTGCCCAGCCCTAGAGGGATCCGTAGGTCTCAGCAACAGCGTGTCCCGCTGGGTGCAAGTCATGGTGCTGAGCCGTCCCGGGCCCGCACAGCGCGCACAGGTGCTCGACAAGTTCATCCACGTGGCTCAGGTAAGGCCCTCCCCGCCTCCCTGCTCGCTTTCTGGGTGCTCTGCTCACCCAACACAACTGCCCCTTCTCCAGCTGTCCATCCTAGGCGGTGACGTCACCAGTCACCAAGTTTTGGCTCCGCCCTCCAGTCCTGACTCTCTAACCCGGACTTGGCGACCCTTGTTTCTTGGCCTTGATATCACTGCGTAGAACCCGCCCTGGCCCCACCCCTTGGTCCTAGACGTAGCAGTTGACGACGTCCCTCCTGGCTCGGTCTCTCAAGCCTTATACCCGAATATTCTATCGCCAAGGCAGTGAAAGAGTCTCTTTTATGCCCACCCCCTTACGTCATCCTCTACCCTAGTCACTAGGCCCCGCCGTCCCTTTGGGACAGTGACTACATCCCTCCTCACCCCCTCCTCTTCAGCTCTCTCCCTGGCCCCGCCCCACGTGTCATTCCCTCCCCTGCAGACATATTCTCTCCCTTCTGAAGAAAAGGGAAGCCCCCTTTCCCCAACGTGGTCACGCCCCTTCGCGTACTTCCTCGCAGGCTACGCCCTTCCTCTGAGGTCTCCCATGGCCTAGCTTCCCCTGCCCCGCCTCTGAGACCTGCGGTTCTGGCGCGTTCGCCTGCCTGCGGGTGTCCTTGGTCTGAGTATCTTCCACTCCTCCCTGGCTCCATTTTCTGCCCCCAGCGACCTGTGCCCTTCAAATTCGAAAAAGGGAAGGCGAGGCAATTCCCCCTGATGCCCATCTGACCCCACACCTGTCTCATGTCTACCTGACCCCTCCATATCACTGTGGCCCCATTGGCCCAGAGCCCAGGCCTTCTTGTCTCCCCTCATCTCTCTGACTCTCAGAGCAATAGGCTCCCCAGGGTCCTGACACCCTGACATCTATCTGAGTCCCCCATACCTGTCTGACAAACATCTGTCTAGTCCCTCGACCTGTCTAACACCCCATACTTGCCTGACTCCCCTTTTTTCTAACCTCACATTAGTCTTTCACCTGCCTGACCTCTGTGTAACGCCTACATAACGTGGTTGTGGCCCACCCCTGCCTGTCGCATCTCGTCTGTCTGATGCCCGCATTGGCCCATACCAACACATGCCTAACACCCCAACTCGATGGGATACTCTCAGCTGGGATGCTGTCCTCTGAACCCCCAGCTTGCCATGTGACACCCACCACCTTTGTGTTGCCCTTCCTTCCTAGAGGCTCCACCAGCTGCAGAATTTCAACACACTGATGGCGGTCACGGGAGGCCTGTGTCATAGTGCCATCTCCAGGCTCAAGGACTCCCACACCCACTTGAGCCCTGACAGCACAAAGGTGAAGGGCCGCTACCCTCCCCGAAGTTCCGGCAGTCAGCTATCCTGACCCCCCACCCACATACTTTTCCCCAACCCCCTTGCATCCCTGCCCTGGGCCCTGGAGCCACCTGGAGACCTTGTTCCTCCAAATCCAGCAGACCCCCAGGCCCTGTCCTCCTCTGCCATCTTCCTCCCTCTTCACCCATCCATCCATCATGCTGACCCCTCTTACTCTGCGTGTCTGGTCCTAAGCAGGACTGGAGGGAGGGAGACAAATGAGATGCTAGCAGAGAACTTATAGTCCGGGTGGGGAGTAAAACGGTGCCCCCAACCACACCAATATTTGGGCCACCCACGGGAGGAGCATGCGTCGGGGATGTCCTGAGAATGTCTGGGGAGAGTGGGTCATTCAGGAGTCCAGTGTGTGGCTGAGGTCAGGATGTGGCAGGAGACCAGGCGGATGCCCAGTGGGAGATCCTGGTGACTCTTGCAGGCTGAACTAAGGTGTCCGGGCTTTTCCCAGCACTGGAGAGCTGCGGATGTCTGGGAATAATGGCAGCATCCATGATCAAATTTGGGGTTTTAAAAAATCACTCTAGCCTGGGGAATGAGAGATGGGGACCCAAGAGGAAGAGCAGTTTTGGGGGATGCTGAGGCCATTGTGAAACATGAAAGGGCTCGGGAGGTGTTCAAAACAGCACTGGGTCCCGGGAGTTGGGAGCCCACACAGGAGGCTGCTAGGATACACCTCCAGGGGCTAAGGGAGCATAACCTGCTTTCTCAATAACATGCTCCCCCCCGCCCCCATCCATAACATGGCCTCCCACACAGACCCTGCTGGAGCTGACTGAGCTCCTCGCTGCCCACAACAACTACGCCTGTTACCGCCGCACCTGGGCTGGCTGCACAGGCTTCCGGCTGCCTGTGCTTGGTGTGCACCTCAAGGACCTAGTGTCCCTGCATGAGGCACAGCCTGACAGGTTGCCCGACGGCCGCCTGCACCTTCCCAAGCTCAACAGCCTGTACCTACGGCTGCAGGAGCTGGCAGCCCTCCAGAAGCAGCACCCCCCCTGCAGTGCCAACGAGGACCTGCTGCACCTGCTCACGGTGAGCTGCCCCATTCCAGCTGGGCTCCTGGAGGCTGAGCCTGCGGGACTGAGATTTAGGGTCCTGGGTGGGTGAGGGGCTGCGGGACCAGGAGAGAATAGTGCTGGGATGTGTGGGCTTTGAAACCAGAGCTTCTAGGGGCTTTTTTCCCCCAGCTGTGTGACCTTAGGCAAGTCACTTAACCCCTCGGCCTTGGTTTCCTTATCTGAAAAGTGGATATATTTCCTTATCTGAAAAGTGGATATATTATTTATGTGAGATATATTATTGATCGATCCTTCTCAACAACTCTGTGAGTGGGTCCTAATAATAGTGGGTCTTAATAATAGGACCCACTCACAGAGTCGTTGAGAAGGATCGATCAATAATATATCTCACATAAAGTACTTAAAATAGTATCTGGAACACAGTGAGCTCTATAAAGATGATGCATTTTTCCCCCAATTCCCCCAGCAACTCAAGTATCCATTGATCTGAACTCCAAAATTTTTTGGGCTTTCGCACTTCTGAATTCCAAGGATCTGAGCTTCTCATGTCAGTAATCCAAAATTCCAAGTTTTAATATATTCAGGAATCTAAGCAAAAAGCTAGTAACAGTAATTAATCACTTACTCTCTGCCACATATCATGTTCGACACTTTCTACAGAATACTTCATTTCATCCTCACAACCCCAAGGCGGGGACCCTTATCATGCCCAGTCTACAGACTGGAGAACCGAGGGCCACAGAGGCGAGGTCACTTGCCCCCGGTCCCACAGAAGTAAAACCTGGATCTGAACCCAGGCAGGCCGGCTTCAGAATCCATGTTTTAACATTACGAACCACCACACTATGTCCTAAAATGGGGAGTGGGGGATTTGGGAGATATATATTCTAATATTCTAAGGAGCTATAAACTGAGAGAGATTGGGCCACTGAGAGCCATGTAGTTTAAGACTGAAAAGTTGATTTTCAGACCCTAAAACTGGCCCAGCTACATAATTTGCAAGGCCCAAATGTGGAGCTTCTCGTTCCAAATTCTTAAGAATTTCAAGACAGTGATGGTAGGACATTAAATGAAGGGGGGGCCCTTCTAAGTGTGGGGCCTGCCCGTGAAGCTAGCCTTGTCCTAAGATGAGTGGTGCCAAAGGCCCTATGCCTTGCTGGTGCTGGAAGGCCATCAGCCAAATATTTTCTAAGCACCCACTCTAAGCCTGGCACCACTTCAGGCCCTTATGCTCACAGTGGTGAGCAAGTCAGAGAAAAACTGCTGTTCTTGTGGGGCTGACATTCTAGTGGGGCAATCGCCCATAAAACAAAGCTAATAAGTAAATCATATGGTCTTTTACATGATCAGTGGATAGAGGAAATTAAGGCAGAAAAAGGCATGGAACCTGGCAGGAGGATGTGATTTTAAACGGGATCAAAATAAATAAATAAATAAAAAGCCTCGGTGAGAAAATGACATTTCTGGACTAGGGGACAAGTGGTATGGAGAGTGAATGGGTCTCAGTGGAAGAGAGGACCTGAGAGGTCCCTAGAGAAGAGGGGCTTTGGGCAGAAGAGGAGGCTAGGGGTCCAGGTAGGGCACACAGACTACAGGTAGGAGGATGGAGACTGAGGATCTGTAACGCCCTTCCCACCCCAGCTCTCCCTGGATCTCTTCTACACGGAGGACGAGATCTATGAGCTTTCTTACGCCCGGGAGCCCCGCTATCCTAAGAGTCTGGTGAGAACTGACCCCTGACCTCTGACCTCCAGCCCAAGCTATGCACTGACTAACTAGCCCCTCTGTCACTGCCCCAGCCACCCTCCCCCTTCAAAGCCCCCTCGGTGGTGCAGTGGGCTCCTGGCGTGACACCCAAGCCCGACAGGGCCACCCTGGGTCGGCATGTGGAGCAGCTGGTGGAGGTAAGGAGGGGGCTGTGGCCTGGCCGCGGGGGGCTGGGAAGGAAGGTACCTGCACAGCCCTGACCTAGAGGATGGGCTCTAAGACTGCCGGGATCATCACTGGCCTTACTCTCCCTTCCCACGCTCCTCTGAAGTCCGTATTCAAGAATTACGATCCCGAGGGTCGGGGAGCCATCTCTCAGGAAGACTTTGAGCGACTCTCAGGCAATTTCCCTTTTGCCTGCCATGGGCTTCACCCACCCCCACGCCAAGGGTGAGTGCTCTGACTCCTGGGCTCCCCAAAGACAGGACTGCTGGAGTCACCAGGACTCATGGGTCTGGGAGAAAGGGCGCAGCCATGCTGAAGTGCTGTCCCTGCCCCCAGGAGTGGCTCCTTCAGCCGAGAGGAGCTGACAGAGTACCTGCTCCGGGCCAGCGCCATCTGCTCCAAGCTGGGCCTGGCCTTCCTCCACACCTTCCATGAGGTTACCTTCCGCAAGCCTACCTTCTGCAACAGCTGCAGCGGCTTCGTGAGCACTCAGCCTGCTATCACCCTTGGGGCCCATCTTCCCTAGAGTGTCCTAGGTCCTCACAGGCCCAGAAGCCAGCTTTACCCTGGAACACTCAATTCTCAAGCCCCGGATAATCCAAATTCCAAGAAACCCTTCAGCCTCAAATAATCCCTATGTTTCAAATACACCCCAAACACTGGATGTTCTCTGCATCCCAGATAATTCCAAAGTCTAGCTAATGTCCAAATCCCAGATGACCTCCCCCTTGGGCAACTGCCAAGGCATGGGTAATACCTAAAACCCTATTTAATCTACAATCCTGGGTGACTTATCTCCAAACAGAATCAATCTGCAAATCTCTAGACTCCATATAATTCAAACCCTGGATAATTTCCAAATGCAACGTACGCTCGAATTCTGGATAATGGACAAATCTTTCAATCTCCCAACCTAATTCTCCCAATCTCCCAAGACTAATTCACAAACCTTGGACGACTTCCCAGATTCGCTTTCTCATTCACTAAATATTTACTGAGCACCTCCTGTGTGCCAGCTCAGTTCTAGGCACAAGGTGTGTGGTGGGTGGACACAGCATGAAACACAACAGACACAATTTCTGTTCACAGGAGTCACAGTATTAATTCCAAATTTGACCCAATTCTAATAACCTAGATGACTCTCAAACTTGAGAGAACCTCCAAATTTCTTTAATCCTCAGATCACACATAAGCCTTGGAAATTTGAGAATTTCTAAAACCTGGATGGTTTCCCCGCCCCATCCACAGCCCTCCGCCCCTAGCCTAAGTAACCTATTCTGCTTTCCCTTTTCAGCTCTGGGGTGTCACCAAGCAAGGCTACCGCTGTCGGGGTGAGTGGGGCATTGGTGAGGGAGTAGGGAATCCAGGACCTGCAGTCTGGAAGAACGGGCGCATGGACTGGGCCTCTGGCCGCTGACCACTGCCTCCCCCCAGACTGTGGGCTGTGTTGCCACAAACACTGCAGAGACCGAGTGAAGGAGGAGTGTAAGAGGCCAGGGGCCAAGGGCGATGTGAGCCCCCCCGGAGCCCCCATCCCACCTACACCAAGTCCCCATACCAGCTGTGGTAAGACCCAGGGCGTAGCGTCCTAGGAAGGGGGATCGGTGGATAGGGATTAGTCCCCAGGTCATGAGGCATTCTCATCGCACCCACATCCCTCCCACCCATGCCCCACAAACAGGCTCCGAGGACAATCTCTCCTACACGCTCTCCCTGGAACCTGAGACGGGGTGTCACCTTCGCCATGCTTGGACCCAGACAGAGCCCCCACACCCTTCCTGGGATCCAGAGACGGTGAGGAAGAATCGCCCCCAACGGGATACAGGAGAGACCGGCCCACTTGCCTGAGAAACCCAGATGGACTTGGTGAAACTTAGGAAAGTGGAAATGTGCACAAGTGCTCAGTTGCTTGGGTAGGAGGATATAGATTTTGGTTAATTTTTAATGTTGTTAGAAAAATAGGAATTTCAATTTGTTGAGGGGCAGGAGGGGGTAGCCACTAGTAGAACAGGATTTGTAAGGTGAAAAACAGAATGAAAAAAATATGACAAGAATAAGGCTAAATATATCAGGAGCTACAGTAAGTCGGTGGAGTAAAGTCCCGTATTCGAAAGCAAAGACTCTCAGGTTGGGCAAAAATAAAGTCCACAGAGACATTCATTCACCCGCCTAACGGAAGTCTGGGTGAGGCACTGCTCCTGGCATTGAAACGTCTCCTTCATATACCAACCCTCATCACCCAATGTCTTCTTCCTCCCAGGTCCCCCTCCCAACGACTGCCTCGCCACCTACTCAGTCCTCCACGCCAGATTCCTAGATAATCGCCTTGGTCTCTTCCCTCACTCCCCTCCCCCAGAGCCAATCCCAAGTCCTGTTGTTGGGCCTCCAGCAGAAGTCCCAAAGGCATGGCCTCCTTGGCATCCACACTGCCTTTGTTGAAACATCCATCATTTCTTACCCTGAAAGGTCATTTTCTTTTGTATCAGAGTAACTATTAATTGTATCCCCTTTCCCTGCACTTAGTAATTGTGCAGCTCCGTGTTTGACACATTTAGACTTAAGCATTATCTCACTAACTCCTTACATCTCCATCTTATAGATGAGAAAACTGAGGCTCAGCAGGTTAAACCCAAAGTGGCAGAACTCAAACTCAGGTCTTCGGTCTGCCTCTAAATCGGAAGCTCCTGACCAATGTGCTACGCTGACAGTCAGCATGGGCCAGGACGGGGAGGGAACAGGGTGGGCGGAGTTCTGAACTCTGGGGTTTCAGAGGGGAGAGGCGGCTAGAGAAGGGGTGGAACTGGGGAGCCTGTGAACATGAGTCAAATCATGTGACTCCATCTCACTCCGTTTAAAAAGCCAGAGTCCATACTGTGGCCCACTGCACACAATCTGCCCCTGCACCTCTTCACCCTCACCTCCCTCCACTCCAGCTACACTGGCCTCGACAGTCACTGAACAGGCCAAAAATACTCCTACCTCAAGGCCTTTGCACTGGCTGTTCCCTCTTACCCAGAGGCCCACATGACCCCTCTTTTGGACTTAGCTTAAGTGTCACCTCAGCGAGGCATCCCTTGAACATACTCAAAGTTGCAATCTCTCCATGGTCCCGATCCTGCCTTCTTGCTTTATTTTCCTCCAAAGTACTTTTCCCCATCTGGCACACTATACATTTTATCTATTTCTCTTGTTGAATGGCTTCCTCTCCTTCCCAGAAATGTCAGCTCCGGCAGAGCAGAGGCTTTCATTATCTGCACCTTTCACTGCTGTATCCCAAAGGCCTAGAACAGGGCTGGCACATGGTGAGCACTGATGTTTGTCCAATTCCTGTGCGTTTCCTTTCTCATGCCCACAGGAAGGGAAAGGCGTGTTGTTGAAGAAGGACTCTGAAAGTCAGAGTATCAGGGGCCCGTTCAGACCCAAGGGACAGAGACGCCCCCTCCCCTCCTTAAACCTGAGCACCCCTGACCTGGCCCCCGCAGAGATAGGTCCTACAGCTGTCACAAATTAAATTTATTTTCTGGAGAACATGGTCCTTGGTGTTGAGTGGTGGATAGGAGAAGACATTTGGGGCCTCAGGAACAGAGGATGTGGGGCCTGAGTGTCAGGTGCCAAGAGAAACCCTCAGACTGACTCCCAAGAGATTATCAATGGCATCGGCATCTCACAGAGGACCCCGCCCCAACCACTGGTCCCCCTTTACTTCTTCTTCTTCTTCTTGCGACCCCAGCGCTGGTGGCCTGCCTTCTGCCCACCTCCGTCCTCTCTTCTGCTCTGCCAGCTGGGCATGGGAGCCTCCAGCTCATCTGGGCGGCCCCCTCGGTCTGGCACGTTGCCCATGAGCACCTGAGAGTTGATTAGACTTGAGTTTCAGAGAAGGAAAATACCTTGGACAAGAAGGCCAGAGAGCCAAGGAACAGCATGAAGTTGAAAAAGCAAGAGCAGATGTTGACTCTTTGGTACAGTAGGGGCGGGAAGGCTGGACTGGTGGAAGATACAGGCCTGGAGCCTTCACACCGGGTTCCAGGGGCCTCAGCAAGAGAGAAATAAAAGGGAAAAGTAATGGGAGAGGTCCAGGTCACCACCAATATTAACAAAGACACATCGACTTTTGCCTATTTCACAGCTGGGGCTTCGTATAACATTTCCAGCAAACCAGTGTTTTTTGCCTAAATATCCGTCATTTGTCCATCACCTATATTATTTACTTACTATATTTCCTTAAAGCGAATCACTTTTTTCCTTAAATTTTGCCTCATTCTTTGCTGTGCTAGATTGTAGTCCCTAATATTCATTTATGTAAGTATAAGACTATTTAAAGAGAGGTATGAGGCTAAATATGTAATCATTTAAACAGGGTACTTCTGCTTTTAAAGTGGCTAAAAATAGACAGGGTGACGTGGTGGGAGAGGATTTTAAGCTATAAGCTGGAGAGGTAGGCAGGGGCTTGGTTGGACTTTGTTTTGAAGGCACTGGAGAGCCCTAGGAGGGTTCTGAGCTAGGGAGGGACATGGTCAGATTTCTGAGTTAGAAATATCCTTTTAACTTCCATGTGGAGAAGGTGGATTAGAGGTGATGAGGCCAGAGGCCAGGAACTCAGGCAGGAGAGGAGAAAGCTGGGCCAGGGCAGAGGCTCAAAGGCCAGTTGAAGGCCAAGGATGCTGGGGCCCTTCTCCACCCCGAGGTGCCCACCTTATTGATGGCACAGCAGGTCCCTTGGCGGGTAGCCTTGCTTGTAGCTGGGACAAGTCGAGACAGGTCAGCTCGGGCAGCCAGGACGTGCGCGATGGAGACATCCGATTCTGGGGTCAGAGCCTCTCGAATTGGGGTCAGCACTGCCTTCATGGCCTCCCCTTGGGCCTGGAGGTGGTGGTGGTGGGGGAGGACATGGAGAAGGTGCTCAAGAACCAATCCAGGTGTGATCGCTCATTTCGGAAGCTTCTCTTTCCCACTCAGGGCCTCGCTTCCCACATCTCTAAATAAGGGGTATAGCTCTGAAAATACTCTCAAAGTAGAGCTGGGAATTCTAGAATGCCCTGGAGGCCCTGAGATGCTAGAGCTGCAAACCTCACAAGATCCTACAGTGTCTTGGGCCTCAGAACTTGCAGGAGGGTAATATTTAATACTCTTGGACTTCGTTCCTCCTCCCTGCAGCTGCAGCTCCCACCACTGGGTCTCTCTGCTCCTGCCAGAATCCTTTGCCCACACCTCTGCTCGATCACTCCAGTGGAAAGCAGATGTCGTGAGGTCCAGACGCTTGAGGAGGAGGCAGCGGCGGCTGTAGTACTGACTTTGCAGGCTTTGGCAGAGATGCTCCAACATTTCCTGGGAAAAAGGTCCTGGTCATGCCAGGGGTACCCCCCTCACTCCCATCTCTGGATGAGAACATTGTTCACATACAGCCATACACAGTCTTACCCATCTGGGTGCGTCCAGTGGGTAGCTGAGGAGGGGCTGCAGGGACCCTGGGGGCAGGGAAGGCAGAAGCTCTGAGATCTGATGAGAGAAGGAGTCTAAGGCTACCGGGCAGAAACTGTAAGAACCCTCTGTGGACCCCAGTTCCCCACAGCCCTGAGGATCCAGGGCCATGGGATTAAGAATGGTGGTCACAGCTCTAGAAAACAGCAGTGGCTGGGGCACTCCTCCCAGAGCCGCTTTTGGAGAGAGGGCTCTCCCCCTACAAGGAAGGTGGGGTGGTCCGGGCACAGAGAGGACTCCCGCTCTCTACCTTGGCATGCAACTCCCGCAGCAGCTGGCTGGCAGGGGTCGCCCTCGGGGGTCTGGGCAGCCCTAGAGCTTGGAGGGTAAGAACCAGTTCCTGGACCATGCCAGCTCCCTCCTCTGCCCCTTCCCCACCGGGCGGTGGTGCCGCTGGACTGGGATCCGGCTGGGGGTGCAGGAGGAGGAGGCGGGCAGCCTGGAGCTCCGTACAGAGAAAGCCTAAGAGTAGAGAAAGAGAGCGGTGCAATCAAGGAGGGCTGCCAACCTACCCAGGAGGGTCAAAAAGCTCCTGCGGCTTCAAAAGCTCTTTCTAGTCCCGCCCACCTAGAACCCTGGCTCTATCTCCAGAGCATGCTCTACTCCTCAGACTTCAAACCCCGCCCACTTGAGAACCACGTGCCGGGCTCCATCTTAACCCAATCCACTTGAGCTTCAAAACCCTCGCATCAAATTCTAACCCCACCCACATCGGCCCCTCTCGTCCGCCTCAACATTCTGACCACGCCCCCTCGGGAAACGCTGGCTCCACCTCAATGTGCTGAGCCCACTCGTTTTAGATGCTGAAGCCTCGCCCACTTCCGCATCCCGGGCCCCGCCCCGGGCTCACGCAGCAGGCGCAGGCACGCGCCCGGCTCCCGCAGTACGGCCGCGCAGTCTCCGCTGCAAAGCGCGCGGTCCGGGCAGTGCAGTCCTCGCAGCAGGCCGGGCAACTGTCGTAGGAATTCCTCCTCGGCGCCGGGGCCTGCGGGAGGCGAGACGCGTCAGGGCGCGGCGGCGGCGCCACCCGGACTCCACCCCTCCAGGCCTTCGGCCCCACACGTACCGTCGCCGGCGCTCAGCGCCTCCGCGACCTCCTCTTTCTCTCGCTCCACGGCTCCCAGAGACGCCAGCTCCGCCGCAAGCTGAGCGCACAGCGCCCTGAAGTCTAGGCATGAGGGGCCCAGCGCCGCCACCACCGGGAAGCCCTCATACCTGCGGCGAGGTCGAAGCAGCGGGAGGGGTCGGGGGAAATCCGTAAGAATTTATGAGGACAAACCTGTCCTTTCCTGCACACCGCCTGGCACACCCTGTACCCCTTACCCCAAGGCCAGCAGGTCCCGGGCCACAGCGGCCCCCTCCTGCGCCTCGGCCTTCGCCCCCTCCATGAAAGCGTCTCCTCTGCCAGCGGAGCGCCCCCTGCGGGCCAGAGGGAGGCCCCGCCCCAAGAGTAGCCTGCGCGTTCGGTCCAAGTAGCATAACCGACCAATAGCTTCTTGAGAAGGATCTTTGGGAATACCATTGGTGCAGGAGGAGCTAGAACCCGCCTCCGTAACGCCCACGCCGAAACTTAGAGCATCGCCCTTCTGGTAACCAGTCAGGGCTCAGGAAATTCTTCTGGTACTGTGCATCCAGAGCGTGCGTTCAGGTTCCCCGCTGTCGCAACAGGACAGCGGGTATCGCTGCTGCTGCAACGTAGCAGCACCGTCGGTTTTGTTTTCCTCAGCCTCCCTCAAATGCCCTCTGCTCTTAAAGCATCCTAAACCAAGTGTTGATCTCCCAGCTCCGCTCCAAATCCAGAAACGTGTTTCCTTCTTTCTTACTCAAGGCTGGAACTCCGTCAGGGACTCACCGCACCCCCCCAACAGAGGCCCTCCTCATTGATCACCATGCACCCTTTGGGCCTTAACCCCTCTGCCTCCCCAGGTCTTGGAGAGAGAGAGCAGGTGCGATATACCACCGTGATTAAAAGATTGCAACCTAGGAGTCAGACCAGTAAGGGTTTGACTCTATCGCTCACCACCTGTGTCCCTGCCAAATTGCTTCCTATCCTATAATGGGGATAATAATAGTACTTACCTCTTAGAGTTGTGAGGATTAGAGTAAGTGCTTAGTAGACACATAGGAGGCACTCAATTAAGAATAACAAATGTATTGAGCATTTCCTGTGTGCCACTGGGCTAAGTACCTTACCCCATCTGACAGGAGAAAACTAAAGTCCAGAGAAGATTAGTCACAGTGAATGCACGGGTGGTGCCAGGACTCAAAGCCAGATCTCATTCCAAAGTCTATACTTTTAACTTGCTACTACTGTTATTTTACTGCTACTGTTCTGTTGTTAAAATTATTGTTCCAGATTTAATCTCTTCCTGATATATCCTGCTCTCCAGTAGTTCCTAGATAATTCTGCAGGGAGCAGGAGTAGCCTAGGCATTGAGCCTCAGAGAACAACAAAAGCCATAATTTCCTCCTCAGGGGCAGAGCCTACCCTTAGTCTTGTCTACCCCAAGGCTGGGTACTCAGGAGGCCATCTGTTGACCTTAATGAAACAAAATTGCTTAGGCCCAAACCTTGGAATCACAACCTTGACTTTTCTCTTTATCTTGAACCCAATATCTAAATTTGTGAACTCCACCTTCGAAATGGAGCTAGTATCTGCCCACCTCTCCCCGCCTCCACTTCTCTCACCCTGGTCCTGTGCACCATTGTCTCCCCATGGACCATCGCAATGGTCTTTTTCTTGTCTCCTCGCTGCCCCACCCCTTGTCTATTCCCCATTTAACAGGCAGCCAGAGGGAACCTGTGAACACCTGAGTCAGGTCACATCCTTCCCATACTTGGAGCCTTCCTGTAGCTTCATTTCACTCGAGTGAACACCAAAGTCCATGTAATGGTTTGCAAGTCCCTACAGATCTGTCCTGTCACCTCTGCCCTCATCTCCTAAGTACCTTCTTTCTTGCTTCCTCCCCTCCAGACACTTGAGCTCCCTTAATGTCCCTCAGACTAACCGGATATGCTCCTCCCCCAGGGCCTTGCACTCACAGTTTCCTTTACCTGCTCTTCCTGGAGACGTCCACTGGACTCCCTCACCTCCCTCAGGGCTCTATTCAGTTGTTCTTTAGTGAGACCAAATTTGACCACCCTGGCTAAAATTAACATCCCCCATCTGCACTTTTTCGCTACAGTTCATGTCATTTCTAACGTCCTTCATCTCTCTCACTATAAAGTTCATAAGCTCCTTGTGGGAAATAAGTTTTGTCTGTTTACTGCTTTATCCCCAGAGCCTAGAACAGGGTTTGACATATAATGGATGTTCAATTCTGTATTTGAGTGACTGACTGTATGAAACTTAGCTGGAGGGTCTGCTTGGGAGTAAAGGATGAAGAAAGGAACATTGGATAGATTTGTTTGGTGGTTCAGGAAGGTGAGTGGAGGGGGCACATCGATGCGAATAAAGAATACAGGCTGAGACTTTGTCACAGATATTTCTTGGAGAGGATATCATGTCCCCTCCCCCGATGACAAGGCTGGGTCTTTGGCCCCCATCCTCCCCCACCACTTCTGCCTGCATTGACAATAACAATATTGAGGTCACAGACTGGCTTGGAATCAAGATCAGGAAGATAAATATTGGGGTGCCTCCCCCAAGTCTGGGGGCCAAGCATCCAATCCGAGGGGCAAGAAGCTGGGAAATTGGGCCTGGAGGTACCAGGGTCTGTCTTCCTGGCTCCCAGCATCAGCCCTCCATACACCCCTGATTTGGGGGTGATAGAGATAATTCATGGATCAGAGGTGGGTAATAAGCAGGGAGCAAGACTGGGAGACCTGGAAGAGGCGGTGCTGGGAGGTGGGAGCCGGGGGAACCTTCCCCCGGCTCCCACCACTTGGTCCGCAGATCCCGCAGCACCTTACAGCACTCTGGTCCCCCGTCCCGCCCCTCCCCAAAACGAGGTAGGTTAAGAATGGAGTTTCCCCCCTGCCCACCGCGGAAGGGAGGAGACCGAGGCACAGAGAGGGGGATGGGGAACCAAGTTGCCCCAGCCCCCAGTCCCTCTGCCCTCAGCTCTGGTGGGTCTGACAGTGATGAGAGCTGGGCAGAGTGGGGATGGGAGGGACACCCCCTTTTCTCTCACTCATCCCAGAGTCTGGTTGGGAGAGTTGAATCTCACAGGTTCCGGATGTAATAAATAGTTAATTTAAAGGAAGTGACAGAAGGCTCTATCCCTCTGGCCCCCTTGACCTATCCCTTGAACCCCCACAAGGCCATCCGAGTCTGGGTAATAAAGATAAGTGCATATTTCCAGATGCTTGGGACCAGATGCAGGTCCTAAGCCCATATGACATTGAGATCGTCTTGCTCCAAGACCTTGACCCCCCCTATTCAGGTCATCAGATTTGAGGTACCCCGAAGTCCCAGTCTACAAAGAGGAAAGAGACCGCGGCACCCACCTTCCCCCAAAGGGGGCCTGGGGGCCATGAAACAGGCTTTCAAACTTTCTGAAGCAATCCCCACCTCTGAGATGGAAGAGAAGGGATTAATGGAGGGCGGAACATAAAAGCTTGAATCAGGGCTAGGGCTCAAGGTTGGGCTTGGGGAGAGTCCACAGGCTGGAGAGAGGGAGGGGAAAGGGAGGAGGGAGCGCACTCACAAGCACACCAGCAGAGCCTAGCTGTCCCAAAAGGTGCTTTTGTGTAACTTAGAAAAAGGCACACCTTTCTCTGAAGGCAGTGTGGCCAGCAGAGTGTGATGTGGATTCTAATCCCACTCACCACCTAGGCCATGTGCCTTTGCCTTGTAAACAGCCTGCACAATCATCTATGGCAATGCTGGGTCCTAGAAATGGGAGTTGGGGAGCTCATGGTGGTCCTGGAATCCAGGAACATGAGCTCAAAACGGTGTTTTTTTTTTT